TTTATTTTATTTCAAAAGACTGTTTTTCCTATCTCTCTCAATATATTTATCAGATTATATTTATTAATCTTAAAAATAAATATAAGGTATAGCTTGGCTAAAATCATCCTCTGAAAATTCTTATAAAATGCTTAAAAATTTCTATAGCTGTCTGTGTACATCTTAAAAGCTACTCTGAATCCTCTGGTACCTCTTCACTTTCTACATGAAATGAAAGAAAGTCAAACAGTGTCCTTTCCATTTCCCCTGCAGCAAGGAGTGGCCACCTGATCCATTTCTGGGCCACAAAATGTAAGCGGAAAAATGCAGTTGGTGCTTCTGGAAGTTTGGCTTTCCCCTAGTAAAGAGAATCACCACATTTGATGCAGCATTTCCCTTCTTCTGGCTTTACGTTTGGGCACAATGGCTGTGAAGGCAGTAGTAATAAATCCTAAATATCTAGATAATACTTTCTTGGTCCCTGAAACTCTCAAAACTGTTTAAAACATGTTAAGTATGCTTTATGTCACAACTTACCAAGAGACAATATAAACAGCCTCACTAGACAACACACACACGCATCATTTTTGCCCAGAAGCAAATGGGTACCCCTTCGTCAAAGAATCAATTTGTCTCTATCATGCTAATATTCATCAGGGGCTTGGAATTTCAGTTGGATTAAGCACCTTGTTGATGAAGACCTACTTTTCAGTCTTATATTATATGTTCCTGCTAGATCTTCTGCAAAAGTGACTTGTTGTCCCCACTGCCACCACTTTTCCCTTATTCATGCTCTTCCATCTAACAACAACGCTTTCTCATCATCCTCTCTTCCATAACGCTGCCTCTTGAAGCCTAGGTATAGTCTTTCAAGCTTATCTGAAACAGTAACTCTTATATGAAGCCTTGCCTGATACCTGTAACCAAATAATTTTTTTCCCTTTAATCTCCCTGGAAAATAGTTTACTGCCCATATGACATCAACATCATGTACTTTATTAATTTTTTTATGTGTACCAGTCCCATTCCCTGCCCACTGCCAGAATATCACCATCACTCCCGTTAGACCACAAAGCTCATGGAGGGCAAGAAGAGTATATTATTCATTTTCCTTGGCCACACAACACCTAGCACAGATCCTGACATTGGTGTGATAGCCACGGGCACCAGGATTGATGGAGTTGATTTCTCTGTAAGAAGTGATTGCTTTCTTTACTGCAACATATTTGTCAAAATAATAGAGAAGAGGATGGGTTATCTCCCTGAAGCTTAAATTTTACAGAGCCTTGTCTTTTTAAATAAAGAAGGATCTTAAGAACAGAGATTTCCAAAAGCACCTCTGCATGTTATTAGCAGAATTGGCAAACTACTGTGTCCAGGCCAAATCCAGCCCACTGGCTCTTTCAGCAAAGTTGTACTGGAACACAGCCAGGCTGATTTGTTCACGTAGGATCTAAGGCCACTTTTGTACAACACAGACAGAGTTGAGTAGTTACCCCAGAGACCAAATATAAAGAGCCCACAAAGCCACAAAGATTTACTATCTGGCACCTTACAGAAAAAGTTTACTAAATCTCGTTATTAAAAAGGTCCAAAGCAGCAATAATTTAATGGTCAAATCAGTGAGAGAAACAATGTAATAGTTTTCATAAGGCAGAACTACTCTGAGATGCCATGTCTCTGACTTTCCAAAATATTTTTGATCATAGGGAGTTTTTTTTAATGGTTTGCATTTCAGGATCAGGGATCTGAACATCACCAGTTTGGCCAATGCTTCTTTCGAGCAGTACAAGAAAAAAAAAAAAACTGAACTGCAGCTCTTCATTTAAAGTATTGCCCTCATCTGATAATATTTAACTCTGTGAATTCACTTATTTTTCTAGTGATTTTCTCTGATACCATTAAGCCACTTAGCAAACTTCCTCAGCCCATGATAAAAGGACCTCTTAAGCTTCCTTCAGGTAAAAGTTAGAACATACTTGCGCTATAAACAAGAAGACAGTAATTATCTGAGTGATGTGGATAATTAACATCAAAACAACCACAAATGTCCTTGAGGGGAGAATCTATGATCTCAGATTTAAAATTCTTTAATCTAATATAAATGAAACCAGTAAATACCAGGTTTAGGTACATTAACATGATTGATTACAGTTATTAACCTTGTTAGGTACAGAAACTGCTTTATATATTTTCTTATTAGTTCTTACATTACTGCTTTCTTCAATCTCAATATCTTCTGTAGAAAAAAAAAATCTGCCTCACTCATACTTCATTAAACTATGTTTCCTCACCTTGAGTAAACGTGTTGATGATGTAAAAAAATGTTAACTCAAAATGTATTATCTTCCCAAAGGCTTAGAGATGTGTACAATTTTAGTTATTCCATTCATTTAATCTAATAGTTGATAAAAAATATTATAATTAAGTTGACAAATGTATACTCCAAAAGACTATTTAGGATTATCTCACAAAGGTAAATTCAAGATGTATAGATTAACATGCAATTCATCTGCTCTAACCCCAGACAGATGCCTTCTTACTACCAAAGGACAGTGTGGTGCAGTAGAAACTATTCCTTCTGTCCTTTCAACTTAAGCTTTTTTAAGTGAGCAAAGTCTCCCAACAAGGAAAGCCTAAGGACTTAAGCACTCAACACTAAAGTACTCGAGGAACTTCATCTCAGTCTGGCAGTGCTATTACTTGACTTTACCTACTCCTAATGAAGTTTCTTCATTGATGGTTTCTAAAATATTCTCTAGTCAATGTTTTGTTTCCTTATCCTATTAGTACAATTGATATTACCTAGAAATGTGTCTCTTTGAATAATTTACCTGTTAAATGTATTTATTTAATATGATATTTAGTTACAAAAATGAGTCAAAATAGTTAATTAGATATGCAAAATTCTTTAAGATTAAAAAAAAGTAATAATATCTAAGCATAGGGAAGGTAACATCACATTGAGGAAGTTGAAATACATACTGAGGAAGTTCCTGCAAAATTACTAACGTCCTTTCCAAGTAGATTACGTTCTTGGAACTTTGTTACCTAACAGTGCTAACAATGTACCAATTACCCAAGGAGAGAAGCAGATATTCTTTATACTTAGGTCAGGACACATACACAAAAAAATAATTTCCCTAAAATCTCAAAAGGGGAAACTAAATACATACTTTATTTTTTAAAGTTATTCTTTTTACCCTCGTACAATAGGCCACAATGGCCTGATCTTTATTAGCAATATTTGAACACACTCCCACCATACAAGCAACGTGGGGAGGATCAGATGAAAAGTTTTTATTCTCACACTTGAAGGAATTTATTATGCTGAAAGGTAGAGAACCAAGAGCTGCTGAATATGAGCGTTTCTGCTGGAACCTTTGGTACTACGCTAGGATTACCTATTGGTCTGTCTATCTGTATTTACACACATACACAAATAGGTAAACTGGTATGTTAACAAACATACTAATAGTAATTCTGCAGTAATAAGCTATTAACACATTTTCTTTGAATAGTCTGAGAAAAAATTAATTGGAATTTATCTTGAACTATAAGCGCAAGAAACTTTAGGACGTGGATTTAGTCTCTTTTCACTTAGTATTTTCATGCTTTCACATACTCATCAACAAAATGAAACCATGATTTTTTTTTTTAATTTACATGTTCCTTTGTATGAAAAATGTATTATCTGGAATATATTGTTCCATGTATGCATATATGAGGAATAAAGCTATTGTTGGAAATATAAGGCCTCATGTGCATTTAAATATACTTAAACAGACATATCTTATGTTACAAAAAACATCTATAGCAGCACTTTTAAAATTTGAGTACATTTTTAAAAATCGAACTCATAATTACTAACAAGAGAAAAGTATTTCAACTCTATTTTCAAAACTCTATAAATGCCCCCACAAAATTGCTTTTTAGTCATATTTATAGTTATATAATAAAAATATCATTGTAAATATATTGTTATTTTTAATATTTTAAAATATTGAGGTAGCAAGTATTTATGGAGTGCCTACCATGCCACGGCAGTAAGACAGATGCTATAAAATACAACAGTGGACAAAAGAGACAGGTTCTTTATCTTTCTGGAGCCTACATTCTGCTCAGAGTGAAAAGAATTCAACAATAAGCAAGCATGTGTATACACACTATATTTTTTCATAAATTGAAAATTACAATGATATGTTTCTTCGTTAAAAGTATTTGCTTTTCTGAAATATCATGTTCTACTTTTAACTGAGCTCTTTAAATGCCAATTTCACCCACTGCTATCTCGATTTGGAAGAAATTATCTATTTCTGTGCCTATTTCTGTAAGTTTCCACTCTGGTTTCACTTCCATGGATTTAAAGTATTACCAGATCACAAAATATATTTCTCCTTGCTTTCACTGAAGCTATTATTAGCCAAATTTTATCTTAATTTCTATTTTTTTTCTCCAAAGTTCCAAAAGCCATTTTTTTTTCTGCAATCAAAGCACAAGTCTCACTTCAGAAATACATAAAAGAAAATTGATTTTCATCTTGGAAATGTCAAACTTCTTCCTATAATAGTCAGCTATGGTTTTCTGAGACAACAAAGTTCAAAAAGAGCCATCGACCTGATGGCTGTTTGACACTTGATGATGGATTCAACGTGTCTACTATTTTACTGCCAGAATGTCCTCCAAGAGAATGAGACAATCAATGAGGAATAATAAATCTAAACTGGGGAGAAGGTTTGCTTGTTTTAAATGTATTAAAAGAGAAAACACTGGTATTTCACTTCTCTGGGGAAAGACTTTCATACACTCTGTCATTAACTCTTTTTTTCTCTTTCTGGCCTAGATGAATCAGTCATACATATACCTGCTTAAAGAAATTGAACAATGCCTGAAAGTTAAACTCTATGTGCAGTTACTGAACTTAATGTCAGATGCAGATGCTGTGTATTGTTCTTCTCCAAAGGAGAGAAAAAAATAACACATAAGGATGTAATTTTAAGGAAAACATAAACATCACTCACCCTTGCGTCTTGTCCCTCTGTCAACCAATGGTTCTGGCAACTTCAACTGTTTCTAGTGAATGACGTCTTCATTTTCCTATAGGATAGAGTTATTGATCAATGCCACATCAAAAGCAAAGGCTTTATTCAGGTGCAGAACATAGAAGCAATTTATTTTCTTATAGACTATACTTATGCTTGCAATGAATTAATGCAAATTCTAGAAAGTAAATCTTGCAATCATAATTGTAAATTTTCAAAGCAGCATGCTTCTGATTGAAAACTTAACTCGCAGAGTGCATACCACCATACATGCTCCAGATTATGTTCTTTACTTAGAAAACAAAATTTCACTTCCACCTGCACATTTTTATGCCTTTTGATCAGAGTCCTAATAAGGAAGTACAGTATAAATTCTTCAATGACATTTTAAAAATGGTAAATAGATTCAAGACAATTAAGGACAACTATATAAGGACAACTATATGGATTTAAGGTCACTTTTGGGTCTGTGGCAATTTTAGCTTTCAGAAAGTTATAACTATACCATTATCTCCTTAGGTTCACAAATTTTGCACCTAAGTGTATCAAAGGAGAAATGGATAATTTTATGACAATATAATGAAAAATCTTAAGACATTTTAGATATTGCTATTATACTTACTAGATTTTAATTTTCCTCAAAGTTGAAAACTTTGTCTTAATTATTCATAGCTCTTATAGTTCCTTAGTTAATACTGCATTGAGTGTGTACAAGTCAAGAAATACATACAGAAATAGATGAAAATAGCTACAATTTGTTTCAAACACTTAAACATACTCCCTTGAAACTGGAGGTTACAGAATATCTGAAGTTGACAGATGCACTTAATTTATGGAAAACAAAGATAATGATTTGTTTCTCAAAACCAAACTTTGCTTGTGAACTACTGACTAACTGGAGATAAATACACAGAAAATTCTATTTCAAAATTATACATCTAAAACAATTATATCAAATAGCACAAAGTAAATAACATCATGAGAAAGAAGATAATTATTCACAAAAATCTAGAACACACAACTGAATTTTTGAAAATAGTGTTTGCATAAATATATTAAGATCTATATAAAAATAAAAAATGAGAAATGCATAAAAGTCAATTTTTATACCTCTTTAGGGATTAGGAAATATCTAACTTCGAGGAAAAAATGAATAAGGCAGTTCTAATTTTTATAATTAAGCAGCATATTCATGTATTTTTTCACAATAAAATGTAACTTTAACATCAATATAAAAAAAAAAAAAACAGTTGAATCTTTTCAGTCAAATTATGGATGGGGTTTGAAGGGATCTCCAAAATTTATACTCTACCCGTCAAGCCCACTCTGGCTCCTTGGTAGCACCTGGGACATTTTTGTACAAGCCTATAGCCCCATAGAACACATTCTGAAAACTCTTGATATAAATAATTTCTTAACATACTTTAAAAACAGCTATAAAAAAAAGGATATGGCACGGCAATTGATTTAATCAACAATGACCATAATAAGAGGACAATTATTATGGTCACTTATTGAACATACACAGACTCTGAGTGCCGCTCCAAAGACCAGAAATGGCTAGATTTTCTCTAGAGGTTCTCTACATTTCTGAATAGTGTTGAACCTTCAGTTAATTCCATGCTACATAAACCATGTCGCACTGTACTTCGGGTCTATTTGGTAAGACACTGTGGTTGTTCACCATGATCTCTGAGTAATGATTATATGTTATAAAATACAAAAGAAACTGCAGAAGATTTGTAAATTAATATTTAAGGTATTTAATACCTCCAGACTGAGGGGATGGAAGACAAATGAAACAGAAGCTTGTATAACTTCAGCAAATGTAAATTATATGTAAAAATGTTTGTTCATATATATTTCCATTATAGTTCCAAGGCCAAAATAATTACTTAAATTTCTACTTTTTTAGCACTGATTTAATCAGTCCTAGATTTGGAAAGTTATAAATTAGAGCTTATATCTAGAATATAGGATTTCAAATAAATAGTTTATACATTTACAAAAACTGAGAGGGAGGGTAAAGGTGACATCTTTGGTTAATACCAAGTCCTGAGGTATTTCATTTATTATCAATTTTAAAATTTTTTAATCCATTTTTCTAGATTGATACTTCAACAGTAACTCCTCTACAGTTACCCAAGCTTTTCTAACTGTTCTGGACTTCCCTGGTATTAGCATAAGCAGAGATTCTATTTATTTACAGCACACAGCTCCACACAGCACTTTGGAAACGTGCTATCGGACGAGCTTAAACTAGTGCTAGAATCATTGGCTAAGAAAATTATTGTTTTCATTGAAAAATCTTATTCTTGATTGACCTCTATGATGTAGTAATACAGTATTTAATCAATAAGATAGATTGGTTAACTGCATTTCATCTCTTTAACAGTGTCATTAAATGTACAACCACAGAAAGATTTACGATATGATCTAATTGAGCAACCACTCCACCTGGACAACACTTGAATAATGAAGCCGTTTGAGATTTATTAAGGTAAAAGACTTAATGTTTCAAGAATGGAATTTCAGTCTCTGAAAACATCATTCCCAAAAGTGTAATACTTTCCATTTTGAATCTAACGTAAACACTAAGGAAATGTAAACTGATAAAAATACGAAGTTACACGATGTTTTGCTGCAGAAGAGTGGGTGGATGTATGTAACAGACTGTCAGTTACCAGACGTAATTATTTTTAAAAAGCCACTTGCCTAGGTGTGAAATAAAAATAGTAGAAAGAATTAATGTAATTAACTAAATACTAAAAATGGTAAAGGACAAGAAAAAATATGATTTAAATAAATCTTAGATTTACTTTGCTATTTAATGTTATCAATTATTAGTAGACATGAAATTGTATAAAAGTCAAATCAATGGTTGTTTAATTAAAGTTATGCAGGAGGGGAAAAGGTAGGAGGAAAGGCAGGAAGGAAGGGAGGGAGGGAGGGAGAGATGTTAACAGGCACTGAGGAAAAGAGTGGAAGGCAATTTGGTACACCATGACAAAGATCTTTATATCTAGCGTGAATGTTTTTTTAGAAGGGGGAGGCTGGAAAGAAGATAAAACCATCACTATCATCACCTTTAATGAAAGATTTAAAAAAAAAAAGATAGCAGAGCATCCTAAGAAATAAAATCATGAAATTCCCAGCAAGAGGCCTCTTGCAAGGTGCTCAGGGATAAAGCGTAGCTGATTTTTTTTCTCTTAGCATGCTTTACGGTTTGAATTTTAAGACACTGCACCTCTGCCCTTTCCCCTACATTTCTGTCTGCCTTTTCGCTGGTTTCTTCTCACTTCTCTATCTCTAAATGATGGAAATCCCAGGTCTCTGATCTTACATCTCTTATCCTATTTACATATAGTGATTTCCTGTGTGTTTTTTATCTAGTTTTATGGAATTAAATATCACCAAATTGTCATCTTCAGGCTACAGCCCTCCACGCTCTTGCTTTTGATTCTACCTGAATTAACGTGGCCAATGCCAAGCTCCAGAGTCTCCCTTCTTCCTCCAACTCCCTTCTTCACTCCTTAAACGGCAGTTCCTTTCTTTCGCTAGGTTAAGACAGGACAATGATGCATTCTCTACACTATGAGGGCTCAAAGTTACTACTTTATATTTCTTCATCTAATATTTTTCATCCAACATTTCTGTGTTCAAGATGTGTTCTCAAATTCCTAATAACTCATATAACACTGTTGTTGTTTATTTCATTTTTTTTATAATTACCCTAACAACTTCATTCAACTTCATAAAATCTCTGCATATTTTAAGCCATGATATAGTAAGGCAGAGTGATACAGTGGAGGGACCTAGAGTTAAGGGGGAAAAAAAGGGGGTTGTGGGGGAGGGTGTCAGCCCACTTTGCTATCTGGCATTTGAGGAAGTTCTTTGCTAAACCATACTTTATTAATTTATAAACTCAGTATGTTGGACCTGATGATTCATAACATGTGGTACAGATCTGTGATTCAAGACCACGCAATTTTAAATCAGAAGTAGACATTGGCTTCAAATCAAGAATTAACAGCAGTCATTTGGCAATAGATTTTTATGTGAATAAGGATTTGATTACAGATCTGGAAAAGGATGGTGTGTTCAGGATGTGGAATAGCTGAAGAGTGGTTATCTGTGTCACACAATTATCACATCTGCAGTAGATTTAACCAGGAAGGAAAAGAAAAAGATAAGGAAACTTTTAGTAATAGAAAAGACCTTGAATCCAAGCAATAAAAGCCATTTAAATTTAAGAACTATTTTGCATATTACACTTCAAGTCTTTTAGAGAAGATAACATAAATTCTTCCTGGTTGTCGTAGATTGGATTTCATGACCATTTGCTTAAAATCTAGAGATTCTAAATAAAACCTGAAATATTGCACTTACTTTTCTTAAAAGCCCTTAGAAAATTTATTTTGAGTGACATACAAAATATAAAATAGGTACTGTTAGTCAGAAGAATAAATTTATATTTCAGGAAAATACCAGAGTATGACAGAGCTCTTTAATTGAGAAAAAAAATACTTTTTTATGAAAAGATATTCTAAGTCACTATATTTATCAGGGTCATTTCTTAAACCTAAGTACTCATCTAATAAAATACTGTGATTTGTTTTTTCTTTCAAGATAAGGACACAAACATGTTCAAGGGAAGGCATGATCTTTGATTTTTTCAAAATAGTTTTAAATTAGTAAAAGATGGGCATAAAATCCTAGAAACAGCTGCTAAGTGAACAGTTTTGTTTGTGACCAAAATAATTAATATATGACTTTGCAGAAAGCCTTGTGAGTATTTTGCATAACAAGATGCTCAACGAATGGCCACTTCAGAGCATTTGGATATTATAAATCATTACAATACCAGTTTGAAATCTAATACTCAGCATGCTACAATAACTCCATGAAATTATTTTTGGCATAGTTCAAGAGCATGCATGTCATCATTACTTTTTCCTGCTGCGAGGTCTCACACAGAACACGTCATTCTTTAAATTACGTTTTAGGGAATATTTATGGTATCATTAGAAAGTAACGAAAGACAAAGGTGCAAAA